GAACAGATCCTGCACGTTGCAACTTCTCGCCCCGCGATCTTTCACAGCGAGAAGAAATCATCAACACCTGAGAAATGTTTGTTTATGTTTTTCTGGATTCCTAGGTTTCCTGCACAAACTGAACTCATAATTTTAGGGATCGCCAATCACGATTTCTCAATCGTTTATACATAAAAATCGTTGACGACGATGCAATTTTTCTTTTGTACCGATTGTACAGATATACGGAGGAGGATGGCCGATTCTTTTTTCTTTTTTTTTTTTTTGTTTTTGTTTTTGAAGAGATCGATCGCTCGCTCTCGATGCAGCAAGAGTCGAGAGAACAGCGTTACGCGAGCATAGGTTTGTATAATCGGGCTGCACGATCGTCGCGTTGTGGCTGAGCCGCGCACAACGTGTATATCTTGACGAATTCAACGGCACGAGAATAGCGCGGAACGTTTAAAATAAAGTCGCCGCGGCGGTAAATTTATCGTTTCGAACGCGAAATCTGTTTACCCGTCCCTTGGGGATCCGCGCGTCGCGCTCGCACGCGCGATGAAAACCACTAAAATATTCCGCGGGCTGGAATTCGTACGCGTCTCTGCGCAAAAAGAAACTGCCTGCCCTCCTTGTCACTCGCGTATCACACTTCTCTATACCCGGTTGGAAATAAGGCCGGGTTTTGGAATACCTGGCCGGTTAGTCAGACCATTTAGTCATTCCTCTTATACCGGGTATCGCGACGCTCACCAGAACCTCGCCTTTGGGAACTATCCAGATCACGAATTAGCTCGTGAAAGAAAGAAAGAAAAAGAAAGAAAAAAAACGCCTCGAGGGTTACAGAAGCTCACCGAAATAAACACGTTAAGTAACAACATCGGAATACACCCGGGCAACCGTGCGTTCACGTGCGACCGCGGTCGCGTTTTCACACCAGCGAGTTTCCCGTATTTCCGTAAGAAACAACACACGGCAGAACGGAACGTTTCGAGTTTCCTCTACACGAGGCTGGCGAAACACTTCTCGTTTCAACGTGTGAAGCGTTTGTCGTTCAAAATTTTGGTAAACCGATGGATTAAGCAGAGACGTCTGAATTCATCGGAAGAGATCTTTCTCTCGCGGAAGAACGCGATTTACACGTTATCATCGTTTACTTATCGAAAGATTTCTGACAGATTTGCAATGTAAAGCACGCTATAATGATCACGACGGTGATTTTCATCGAATATTGACAGGCGTTTCATCTACGTTTGTATCGATGGCTGACGACGTATGTCGCTTTCTACTTAACTCCCACGATAGCCTTAGGTCTGCCTAAAGATACAGAATGTTACTTTCATTAACAAACTGCTCTCATAAACAAACGTAGCATCAATTCGTAAAAAAATCTTTATACGTTTTCAGATTTGCATGCAAATAAACATCCAATCAAATTAACATACGATCGACGTGTATATATATATATATATATGTGTGTATAGTTGCAACGTCATATAAATGCAAATCCCTCGATTGATTGTAAATATCGTGGAGCACCGTATTTTGTATAGTGTTTAATAATCACCGATGGAGTTACACGCATTCGTCGCGGGGGCGTATTCCCGAAAACAGGTGTGTTTCATTTGCGGAAACACGCAAACAGAAAATTAGGTCTATCAGACAGATCAGACAATGATCTCGACTATCTTAACGTAACAAGCCCAGGCAACGCGATCGTCTGACCTCGATTCAGCTGAACTGCAATTGTTGCAAACTAACCAACTGTTCCTGCGATGCCGCGCAGGGTGCAGAAATCAGCATAAAAATTATACGTTCTATACCCAAACCAATTCCAAAAGCCAATCACCGCACCGCGAATCTATTCCGTCGAGTTCGTGTGTTTTTCTTTTTTTTTTTTTTTCTTTTACCAGCGTGTTATTACGCGTGTTTCTGAAAGAAGGATTTCGTCTCGAAATGTCACGGCTGTAGCCCTTGTAAATTTGAAAGAATGTTTCGCGAGTACGAGACGTTGGAAGTTATTGAACTCTCCTACGGATATAACCTGGCAGACGCTATAACATAAATCTTCCATAGAACGCATGGAAACGTTCTTGGTCCAGCGATTAATAATGCCTCCACATTTCCATGGAATATTTAGCGAAAAAACTTCATTGTGTGTACAGAGTCAGAGATCTGCGGAACGGAAATATTCTCTATTCTCAGGCGCGTTAGATCGATGAACCTGCACTTTCGCGCGGTGAATTTCATGCATGCGTCGTCATATTTTTAAATTTCTCTCTCGTAAATGTATAACCACGCGCGGTTCGCCGATCCCTGCCGGTGAAGGGAGTGGAAAATTTATAAAATCGCCGGGATTGACCACGATGAGCTTTAAAGAGAGAGAGAGAGAGAGAGAGAGAGAGAGAGTGTGTGGTGTGTGTGTACGGCCGACTTCAAAGAAGCAAACGAATCTTTGGCTACGAGGGTGCGTTAATTAGGAGAAGCAATGAATCGTCGGACGGGGGGAAAAATGAAGGAAGAACCGAGGAGAGAGGGTCAGGGGGCGAGAAAAACGAAAACAAAAGAGTCCAAGAGACAAGGGACCGGGTAGAATCTGGGAATGTCGAAATTTTTGGCAGGCTGCCAACGCGCGGTTATCTTATTATGATCCAGCGGAATTAACGAGCTATTTATCGAGATTACACACGGACGATACGCAACGTTATAATCTAAAATAAACCACCGCTCGGTACCGCTCAGGCTTTATCAACCGATTTTGTAAGCGGCGTTCGCCAAACACGCGGCTACAGATATCCCGATGTTGTCGCAAACACCATCCGCGACACCAACCAAACACACCGCGACGCTTTTCCAAAGAAACAGAAACAGAAAGAGAAAAAAAGAAACGTGTCTTTCTCCGATTGAACTCAAAACATCTCGATGCACGCCTCGAGAAATTTGCAAAACGAAAGAGCAAATAATTTCCCAAGAAAATTCAACGATGTAATATTTCGAAGGAAAATAATTCGAAAGATGCCTGTTGTATCGAAATCTGATGATCGGAAAGGATTTCAGAGGAGAGACGGAGCATACGTCGGAGCTGAGAGCCGCTTTTGCACGTAGGTATACGCGGAACGGAACGGAACGGAGCGTACACGGGAAGATTGACGAGGAAGGCACGGACTTGGTCGTCGCGAAGGGCGACGCAGATGGGGCGAAAAAGGGGGAGGTGGCGAAGAAGAGACGACCGACGAGCGATATCGTTCGCGGTGGTTCGCTCGCTTCATTCGTCCTCGGCTAGACGAGGACCGAGTAAAAACGGAACGGAGCAAGTGCGACGAGAAACGAGCACGAGCGAGAGAAGAGTGAGCCGCGCGGAGTCGGCGGTCGGCCAGTGCGCGAAAAGAATAGCTGGCTGATTCATACGCGAAGTCACGAGCCCGTACGTCGTACGCAGCCGGCGTACGGCCGTGCAAGCGTAATCGAAAACACACGAGATGCACACGTTTTACAGCGAACTTCCCCTCTACTTTTCTCTCTCTCCCTCTGTACACTTTTCTCACTCGAATTCTTTCTTCCTTCCGCGAACGATGTTCGATCCTCGCGAACTACTCGCGAACCTGGTGCTTTCTACGGTTTTCCAGTGACTTTCCAATTTAAAAGGTACGTCTTGGTACAGCCAAACCTAATATTATCAACGCTAGAACTACGAAGGGCTAACGTGTAGAATTTTCATCACAGATATTAACCTCTTGCGCTGGCAACTGTTTCACGGACCATAACCAGTGACCGAACTGTATACAATAAATCGTCGCTTTCTTTTTAAATTCGTCGATATGATACCACTGGAGAGAAATTATTACTAAGAAGTAATAAATTTATTATTTGTTTCGCCTGGTTTAT